TCGATTCGATTTGAAAAAATCAAATCAAATTCAAATTGCTTAAATATTTGATTCGATTCGATTTTGAGGAACCCTATCTGACATGATCAACAAATAAGATATATTAGACAGATTTAATATATATGACATATCTGATATATTAGACAGATTCGATATATATAACATATCAGACATATTTGACATATACAATATATTAGACATATTAGTTATAACTTTCTATATACTGTATTTTATATAAATAAATAGCTTTTTAGACCATATAAAAAGTAGGATTTGACAAGTCAGTTTTCAGTAGTTTTTAAGAGAGCAAACAGGCCTATTGTGTTACATTTTAATTTCATATTTCGTTTCTTTATTTTCTTTCTTTTCTTTACTTTTATTTCTTATCTTATCAATAAACATTTTACTTGAAAATATAATTACTCAATATCTCGTGAATTGTTGATTGTGAAATGCTCGTAAAACCTTTATCTGAAACCTTTAACTGAATTTAGTTGTAATAATAAACTTGTAAAAACATTAAGATTACTGTGCAATTAAAAAGAAATAACACCTTGACAATCCATCTAACAGTTGTAATTCACAAGAATTACACATAAATCAAAGAATCATTATATTGAAAATTAACTTTAACTAATATTTCTTTTTGATATAATGTTACTTTTAATAAATTTTCAAAATTTTTGAACTTTTCATTAATATTAATCACAACTAATTTTACTAAAGATTTTTTATTTTCATATACAAATAGTAACAAATATTACATTTTATTTAATAAATATAATTTTAAAGGTATTATTTATATTTTATTCTTTTTTTTTTTATTTGATAAAATCTTTCTTTTCATATAGAATTAAAAGAAATATGAATTTTTTTTTATAAATAATATTACAAATATTTTATTTATAATTTTATTTATCAAACAAGTTTAACAAATCATATGATTATATATGTGTAAAATTTATTACTATATATTTAAATTTAATTCTCCTACTTTCTTAATTTTTTAATATTATGTGACATTAAACAAAACTATTTATTAGAGAGGCTTTATATATACTTTTCATAAAAACTAATTTATATTAATACTATAAAAAATTTCTTCTGTTATCATAATAAAAAAATTAACTATATATAAAATACATTACTTAACCAAAAGTAGCAAACATTAAATTTTTATTAATTATTCAAAAACTTATATAATAAAAAAGGCTGAAATTTTAATATATAACCTATATATACTATAATGTTAATATTTATTTATTTATAAATAAATAAAATTAAGAGTATAAAATATAAGAATTAAACAGGTTTTACTTTAAACTTAAAATTTATAATCTAACAAAATTAGAATAGAATCAAATTATTAGACTTTATAAAGGTAATACTATAAAAAAAAATATTTCTCAAATTTTTAGCATTTCTAGAATGCTAGTTATTTGCACAGTTTAAAACTTTTGCAATAGAAAAAGTCTTAAAACTCAATCATATACAAAATGTTTAAAACTTCTGGATTTTGAATATCAGCAAATTTTAAAACAAATTATTAAAAGAAATAATTATCAATTAATTAAACAAATAAAGTAAATATTTTAAAAAAAAAACTGAAATATAGGTTTCAAGCAATATTATCAGAAGAAGTTTATATAAACTTAATTTTTTTTATATTTCAGTTTTTAAACCTTTTCTCAATATTCAACAAAAAGAAAATCAGCTAAATTGGTTTATTAAAGAAAAATTGGTTTATTAAAAATTGGAAATCAGATATTTAGAATGATGAAAATCATTTAAAAATAATAATGAACTTCTGAAATAAAATTCAATATTAAAAACATAGTTCTTGTAATAAAATATAGTGGTAAAGATTTAATGATATAGGACTATTTTTCAGAAAAAGGATTGTAACTATTAGTAAAAATTGAAGGAAAAATAAATTAGTATGATTATATTCAAATACTTGACTTATATCTACTATTATTAATGAGATTATTTATTCTAAGATAATTATATATTATTTATACTGCCAAAAATAACAAAGAATAGATTAAAACAAAATTTTTAGAAAATTAGCCAAATTAGTCACCTGATTTAAATTCTATTAAATACTTATAGTTAGAATTAAAAAAATGCATCAGAAAATGATATAGACTTGCAAAAAATATAAAGGAATTAAAAAATGCTTTATAAGAAAAATAGAATCAAATTTCTAATAATATTTTAATAAATTTAATTAAAAGTTTATTTTGAAGAATTAAAACATATATTACATATAATAGTTGGGTTATTAAATATTAGTTATATAATTTTTTCTTTTGATTTTATTTAAAAAATATTACAAATTTTATTATAAAAAATTTATTTGTTTGATGATTAATTTTTATTTAATATTTCTAAAATTAACTTTAATTAGAAGATAAAATTTCTTTAAAATTTAAAAGAATAATTATTGAAGAAAAGTTTTCATTTAATAATAAGTAAATATCTAAAAAAATTTAATTTCTTAATCTAAAAAAAAATCTAAAAAAAATTAATATGTAAATTAAAGAAAGATATAATAGAATTTTTTTTTATTATTATTAGCTTAAACAAGGATATAAAATTTTATTAAATTAGTATTTTTAGAATTATGTATAAATAATTCTAATTTCTTATTAATCAATTTATAACTTATAAAAATTTAGAAATTATATAATAAAATTAGAGTCATATAAAATTTTGATCATCATTATTATATAAAGAAGATGTGGATGAACTGGGTGACATATATCTGCGGTGATTAAAATATCATATATGTCTTCTATGTCTTATAGTATTTATATTTCTTATATTTCTTATATATATTATATTATTTATATCTCTTATATTACATATATTTATTATAGTTATTATAATTATTATATTATTTATATTTTTTAAATACTTTATGTAATTATTTTTATATAAATATATCTTGAGTCTTAGAATAGTAAACGACAGATTTTTCTACAATATTTATTGTAGATTTTAAAGAATCATCTTTAGTTTAGTTTAATATATAACATTTTTATAGTACAAAGTGCTAACAGAGACAGTACTCATTTGTTAGAGATATTGAATAAATAATCAACCCTTTTGATTCAATTTATATAATTTTATAAACCTTTTACCTTCTGCTTACTTTACTATGCTTTTAGCCTTTAAGCGATCCTAAAGAACTGACTATATCATTATTATTGATTAAATAATCAATATAAATAATAATGAAATTACTATATATTTAAAATTTTCTAATTAAATAATCAATAAAAATGAATATTAAAGTTATTAAAAAGAACAAAAAAAAAAATATTGAGTTAGTAAATTCTTTATAATATTTATTATTAAAAGAAATAAAGATATAGTTTATTTTTAACATCTAAAAGATTTCTATAAAACTAAAAGGATTATATTAAATGAAAAGAATTTTATAAGAAATCAAAAAAACTAAAAAAAGGGTTAGAAATTGTCATTTTAAAAAAAGGGAAGGAAATTCAATTCATGATAATATTTCACAAATTTTATATAAGTTAATTATAAATTACTTAAAATGAATGATGACAAGGGGGCAATGTTTAAAATCTATATGCATAATGTGCACATGTGTATATTAATTTTTGTGTACACATACAGTATTACATAACATAAAATGTGCACAAATTATTACTAAAAATAGATAAATTATGTGCAAAAAAGGTAATTTACATAAGAAATTGTTATGATTTTCTTATTTTAGTTATAATTAATCAACTTGTACACATAAATTTTAACTTAGATTTTAAAAACTCATATTTAAAAATAATCTAATTTAGTAAAATTGACTAATATTAGTAATCATAAATGTTTTAGTTATATAAATAAAGTTTTAGAGGTATTGCTTATTAAAAAAAATATTGATAAAAAATTTAAATATATTAATTTCAGATTTATTTACTTAGTAATTTAAGAGACTTATGTAATATTTTTTTTTTTTGAAACTAATGATAATGCAAGCTTAATATCAATAAAAGTATTTAAAAAGAAAAAAAATTGCCTTTTATTATTGTAGAACTTAAATAACATTTTAAGAAGGTATAGATAAATTCTTATACATAATATCAAAAATTTAGTCAATAATATGCTATAATAAATTTATGCTATAATTAAAGTCTGATTATGTATTAATTATTTAATACAAAATATATATCTAGCCTATTTAAATTAAATAATATTAAATTAATATCATATTAAATTTTATTTAATTTGAATCATTATTTTTGAGTAATCCAATATAATAAATAATGTTTAAAAAATTAAAATATCATTAATATTATTGATTGTAATATATGATTATTTGTAAATTATCACAACCACTAATTTAAATTAAACGAAATTTTGAATATAATTTAAAAATATTATTTTTAGTAATATTTAAATTAATATTTAATTCCTATCTTTATTATTTAATATCTTTATTATTTAATAATAACCATTTACTAAATTCAAAAAAAAATCGATGAAAATCATATCCAACATAAACTATCTTTGTCAATACTAAAAATTATTATTTATAAATAGTAATTTATTGTATTTGTTTTAAAAGGTCATTGTTAAAGAATTATCACCCGATTAAGAAACGCTTTCAAACATATTACGAAAATAGTAATTCAAAACTTCACAAGGGGGTGTTAAATGGTTACTCGTCACTCAGAAACGCTATTATTTTTATAAAAGAAAATTTGCTAGATTTTTTTTCGTAGGTTTTTTTTTTTTTTTTTTTTTTTTTATAACTATATCAAGAACTTCTGGGTTGCCCTACCATTTCTTTCGTTACTGGGATTTTTAACCAACTTCAACGTTTATAGACTTGAGGTTACCCCTCACAGGCAAAGATGAGCACTGGCACTGGATATATTGGGTCCAAGATCAGTCTCATTTCAAGGTCCGACATTCGTTATGTGGGCATATTACATAGCATCAATTCAGCCGATTCAACTGTAGCTCTTGAACAAGGTTTGTTTATTTCATTTGCTCTTTATAAAAGGCTTCAAGTTTCTTTATACTAGTAATAATAAAAAATAAATAATGAAGCCAGTAAAAAAAGTTCCTTTACATCCATGGTTCCTTTTTCTTTTTAAAGTCAGGTAGAATCAAGAGTGATTCTTCTTAATATAATTAATTACAAAATTTAAGCTGGTTCATATTAAATGAGTTAAGGGTTTAATTGTAATACATCGATTAACTATTAAATAAAAAAATTTTTTATTTAGTTCGCTCTTATGGAACGGAGGGTCGCCGAGGCAGTCCTTCTGAGGAAATTCCTCCTTCCGACAATGTTTTTGAATACATCGTATTTCGTGGTTCGGATGTAAAAGACTTACATGTTTGTGAAGCCCCTGCTCAACAACAATCTTTACCTCCTCAAGTTCCTAACGATCCTGCTATTCTTGGGGTGAGGGTTTTGAAAATTGATTTATTATATCTAGATAACATTCGTTATTTGTCTGAAGATATGATGAAAAATCTTGGATATATTTTGAATTTCTGAATTTAATAATGTTGTTAATTCCATGTTGCCTTCCTACTGATTTCCGATAAATACCGAGTTAACAAAAAAAATTTATTAAAAAAGAAAAAATTTTCAGTTCGCTTCTCATAATTTATTTAATATTAATTATCTACATTAGACTACTGCTCCTCGACCAACAAGTTTTCAGAGTTTTGCTCCACCACCAACGTTGGGAATACAATTACCACCTAATCCACCTAATTTCGCTGGAGCACATCCGTTTTATCTTCAACAAGTAGCTGCTGCATCCTTTCAACAACAGCCACAATATTGGCAACAACCACAAGTTCCTCAACCTCAGGTGTGTTTTTACCATTTAACAAATATTTTTTTTTGGTGCCTGCCAAATAAATGTTACTCATCCGTCTTTATGAGAAACTATTCATGAACACGAGTGGTCTTTTTTAATTGGCTAGCATAAAAAAATTTTTTTTTTGGCGAGGATATTTATCATCATCTTATTACCCAAATTTGGAATAATTTGTTAAATTTCCGCTTGAATTTATCTTTTCTTCGTGGAAACGGTTAGCTAAATAGCAACATCACAGAGCCCGCTGCCAAAGAAGCTGAACAGCCAAAGTCACAATTACAGGTCTGCAGTTTTGGCAGCAAAATTTACTCAATGATTAATTAACACAGCTCCTATAAGGTCCATGTTTCATACCAAATACCTAACTCCTTGAATACAGAAAGAACATTCAGCACCTGACAAGGTTGAAGAGCCTAAACCGGATAAGTCTACAGCAGTCAAAAATTTCGTCAAGACGGGCTCGAGTTCACGGTCTACCACTGTTACGGCTAATAATAGAAATAATGAAACCACTAAGGAAGTACCTTCAACATCCGCTGTTGAAGATTTGGCCAAGAAAGTCAGCGAAATCCAATTAACATCAACAAAGGAAACTAATGGTGAAAAACAAGGTTTATATAACCTATTAAAACAGTCTTTTATCGTATATTTTATTTATTTGCCAACGTATTTATTTTATATACAATTCATAGCTGTAAGCAACCATACTCGTTCTTCTGCCCCAAGTAATAATAGACTTCCCGGTATGGGTGGACATCTTTTGCAACAAAATCGTAGAAGCCGTGGCAATCGACGAAATTATAATCAAAATTACGATCGAAACAGGATTCCTGTCCCTCAATCTGATTTCGATTTTGAATCATCGAACGCTAAATTTAATAAGGATGAAATTGTCAAAGAAGTTGTTAAGAAAACTCATCCTCATGACCTAAAGGAGGAAGAACTTTTAGATGGACAAGGTGAAGAAGAAGAGGAAGAAGACATTTTGATACCTCCCGCTGAAAGTTATTATGATAGAAGCAAATCATTTTTTGACAATATCTCTTGTGAAACAAAAGAACGTTTAGAGCAACAAGGTCCAGACGGCCGGTAAGACATTTATTAATCGAAATAATCTTTGTAAACCCGTATAAATTCTAATTCTATTTTGATTTTAATTTCAGTCGTGGTTTATCTGTTGCTGAAAGAAGACAAAAACAATCAGAAGAAAGACGGTTGAATCTTGAAACTTTTGGACAAGTATCTATTGATGGTGGAAGATATCGCGGAGGTTATCGTGGTCGTGGCTACCGAGGAAGCAGAGGAGGGTACCGTGGAGGCCGTGGCGCTGGAAGTGGTGGTTATAGAGGTGGTTATACTAGCAGTTACCGAGGGAATAATTATAGGGTGAGTTTTTGATTTTTTATATATTTTGAGCAATAAATTATTTTCTGTTCATTTAAAATTCTTATATCTTAATTTTTTTTGTAGCAACAAATGCAACAATCATGAGTCAGGAAGAAATTAATTAAGAACGGATAGAGAACAAATAATATTTTATTATTTTAATGGCGTATTGTAATTTTTCTTATGTTTGGGTTTTATTATTTTTATTTTTATGTATCCTTAAATCTTGTGCCTATTGATGAATCATCAGGTTGTTTTCATATCACCATTACCACTCTTTCACTTTATAACCTACCCAATTTTGGGATTTTTTTTTTTTTTTTTAATATCTAATCAGAGATTGTATAAAAGAAATTGAAGAAGCTAATATATATATAACAACAAAAAGAAAAATATATATATCTAAAATTAAAAAGAGGTAAAAATGGAAAAAGAAGTAATATATATGTAGGGTTTATAATAAATGACTCGAGTAAAAAGAGAGAGAAAAAACTAGGTTTCATTTTTATATATATAAAGAAAAAAAAGAGAGTTTAAAGATATTATTTGATATGTATTTGTAGTCATTAAAACTGGTGAATGATTTGATTTTATTTAAAATGCAGATATCATGTTTATTTCTTTACATACAGTATATATTTATATTGCAATGTATATATATATATATATATTATTTATTTAAATACCAAGCATTCAGAAATTTGATTCATTAAAACTTTTTATTAGAAATCCAAATTCAAATTAGCTTGAACAATTTATCAAAAAGCCAATGATATGAATAAAAAATCATTCATGAATTAATTTTCATTTTCATTTTCATTATCACGTGTATACTACAAAATATGATAATAAAAGTTAGGGGGAAAATTAATTTTAAAAAAGCTCGAAAATACCTTTTCAAATTCCTTAGGATGGGCAGCCATTTCTTTTTGAATCAATTCTCTTCGTTGTTGAAGCCTTCTGGTTCTCCTAACTTCAGCATCTTTGAATACTTCGTACTCTTGTTCATAATCTGTAATAGCCTGTGGAACTGGTGTTGGCACATTTTGAGAATCAACAGCAACTAATTTCAAAAATTACAAAAGAAATTGTAACATATATAAAATAACTTATGCATGTAAAAAAATATTAATCTATCTAACCCATAGTATAAAAACCATCGTTTGTGAAAAATCTTTCTCCTGTCATCAAGTTTTCTAGAAATAGAAATTACATAGAAGATTTTTTAGGTTTAAATATGGTCTAAATAACACGGATAAACGAGTACATCATATAATTTACCAGCTTCTACGGAAACATATACTTCCAAACTTGAATGAAACGTACAAGAAACAATTGATCGAACTGTTATACCTGTTGAAAAGGATAGCGGATAATGATTAAAAATTTAGTGATACCAATATCAAGAAAAATATTATAAATAATATATGATTAACGATTCATACAATCACCAACATATGTCGGTCTAATGAATTGAAGTGAGTCTATACTATAATAATAAGTGTAATAAAATAAAAATAAATTTTTTAATTAGAAAACTTGCTTTAAACCGCGTAGATTTCATTCATTATCAACCTTGCCAATAAAAGGAATCGTCTTGAATGCCTTGATGCGCTAACAAGGCAACAATGTTCCATCCATTTCATGATTTGACCACCAAAAGTAATCTTTCATTTAAATATGAATTAAAAACGAATCGATAAAATAAATATCATCATCAACAAACCGATCAAAATTTATTACCTGTAATGTATTTGCATGTTGGGGTAAAACTGTTTCAACAACTTCTGCAAAACTTTCAGAACTAAACTTTGTATCAGGTTGTATAGGAAGACCTTTTAGTGTTGAACTTCGTCGAATGAGATATACTTTTGCGGGGTCATTAGATTCGGCGCTATATGCTTCAGGTTCTTGTAAGAGAGGTGGTAATTCTGCCGTACTTTTTGTTTCCGTATTATAATGTTCCGACCATTCACGCAAAAGTTCCCTTAACGCTTCTAACTTATGTTGTTCACGATGACCTTTATCATCTGTATGTTTTGATTTGGTCACACGTGCCTACAAAGAACAAAAACATAAATGATTATACAAATGACGCGTTTAACAAAACTCAGAATCAAAGTTTTCGTGAAACTCACCTGCCTTCTAATCTCGGCATAGTCATAACGTTGCTGTTCAATTGGAGTTACTGGAATAATACGAGGAACTTTTGCAGTTAAATTACGATGTCTTGCTCCGAGAAGTTTACCCACAGATTTTGAACTGCCACTGAGAGCAACAAAGGTCAAATATGCTATAGATTAATTACTTAAATAGTTAATGAATTATAACAAAAAATAAATAAATAAATAAAGATAAAAATAAAAGTGAATAACAAAATAAGAACATTACCATGACAGCAATATTTTCGCTTTCCCGTAATAGGATTTTCGGTTTCTACGCGAACACCAACCTAGACAGATAAAGAATAAGATCAGAACATTGAGCATACAATATACAAAAACTATAGCATAAATCTGTTTACCTCCATAGAAGTATTCCAAGCACGATTTACGCTAGCCTGTATTGTAAGAAAATCACCAACTTTAATAGGATGCATAAAATGAACAGCATCAACACTTCTCGTAACCTATTTAATAATTTATAAATTATTAAATTCAATGGAAAAATAAAATCATCATTTTTAATGGAACTTAATTTAAGAGCAATACGCTTACACATGGATAGACGGCATGTTTTTTTGCAGAGTATCCTGCTGCAAGATCTATCCATTCCAAGATAACACCACCAAATACAAAACCGCGAATATCAGCGTGTGAAGGTAAAACTATTTCTGTCATTGTTATCCTATAGAATAATACAAACATAATAATAAATCGATGATCACATTAACTATTCTAGCACTGGTTCATTATTATAAAATTACCTTGAGGAACATACTTCCTTTTTTTCTGGTACATTCCTCTCTGGAGAAAAAGTAGGTCGAAATAAGAAATTATACAGCAAATTAATAGTTGAAAAGATTCCATCGAAACCTCCTAAAACTATAATGGATAATAGCGCCACTATTATTAGAAGTAAAAAAATACAAAATGATCCTGATTCAAGAAGCCAATTCATATTAGCATATATTACGCGAAAAAATCACCCTTTTTTTTTTTAAGTTTATCGTTTGTCCCACAAACTTCCTAACTGGGTAAAGTTTAAAAAAAGCATTTTTGATACACAGAAAATCTTTTAACGAAACCTTCAAGTTTATTTAACTATGAGTTTAAATCCGATAAATGAAATTGGCGAGTCGCCTCGATCAACAATTAACTCTTTAAGTACGTCAACTACGTCCTCAGCGTCATCATTTTCACAGCACCTTCGTGCACCTATTAGTACAAGTTTACCATCATACTCTTCTTCAGCTTCAACTTATGTAGGACCTGTACCGGAAAGAACAGAGATAGAAATAGGAACGTCCAATGCATCTACTTCTACGGAAGAAATATGGAATAATACCCCTCAACAACAAAATCTTAGTCTAAATCAAAATGTGTATCAAAATCAAAGTCAAAATCAAAATCAGAGTCCAAATTTACCATTTGTTCCGCAACTTTATCGAACAACGAGAGCGACCTCCTTTTCTAGTCGTAATACATCATCAAGTGCATCTTCTATCGTTTCATTTTCCTCTTCAATGAATAATAATAATAATAATAATAATATTAATAATAATAATCTAATATCATCATCATCATTGATCCCACAAATGGAAAGATCACATTCAACTTCTACGATGTATTCGTTTTCTTCTAGCACTTTTCATGAAAAATCACTTTCCACCGGGTCAATCTCTGTTAAAGACAATAACTCAGTAACATCAATGCCGTACATACCACAAACATCATCAATTTCAAATCATAAAATTAATAATGTTTATGATACACCTGTAACTTCAAAAGATTTGGAAAAGATGGAACAGGGAGGACAACAACATGATACTTGGGGTTCATTGGTGGTAAAAGTCTTGCCATTGTTTAATGGCGAAGGATTAAAATTGTGCATTGAGGATTTGAATGAGTTAGTAAGGTAAACAAAGAGTTCTCGTAAAATTATGCCTAATTAGATATGTGCCCCTCATAATCAAATCTTATGTAATAGGCGATGCATAAGTGATAGGTCAACACAATTACTCTACGAAGAAATAAACGAGCTTTTAGAGTCAGGAATGTTTACGTTGAATGGAAAATTAATAGGTGTTCCAGATGAAAAATTGGTCTCTCGTTTGGTTGAATTATGGTCATTTTATTTTGGTACCGTAATTCCGTATTTCGAGGGAGTTTTTCTCCCATTACAAATACACAATTCCACTGCACAACTAAATCATACAAGTATTAGACGTTTGGTATTAATGAGTTTTCGTGATCATGTGATTTTGCCCATGGGCAATCGTGTAGAAGGTATTTTACACGTGAATGTTTTTATGTCATACGCGGATAATAATGTTTCTTTTGACTAATATGCGTTATTTATTTATTTTTTTCCTAGAGGCGTTCAATAAATTATTTCACGATTTTGATTCCGGTATTCCAGTAACAGATACAGCAACTCGTATGCTACAAATGTCATATATTTTATCATCAGTTCTTTCTGATGATGATAAACAAAGAGACATGGATAGAATTTTAGGTAAATTAAAAAATAACTGGAAATTATTCATGAGAAGGAGGGACAGAAGAGGTTTTGTTGGGATGTCTCCTTCAAATTCGAATAATTCCAATAATAATAATAATAGAAAAAGTATTGTGGAAGATCCGATAGTGACCATTACTTCTGATAATCTTGTTACAACTCCAACAACAATATCTAATCCTGCAGGTGACTTTCCTTCCATCACTTTGTAAATTGAATTGTTAAAGTTTCAATCTTCTTGTAGAAATGATGAATTTATTATAACATTTTTGATTTGTAAAAAAAAAAATTTATTCAAATATAATGTGTATTTTTTTTAACCAGCAAGGGGACTTATCATCCTATGTCAAAAATTTTTTTTGCAAATTAATAAAATTGAATATTCAAAATTTTCACAATTAATGGAAAAAAAAATTTTTTTTTTACTTCATCAAGGAAGGTTTTTGTTCGCTTTTAATATAACCTGTTATAAATCCAAAGAAAAGAAAATTTTCATTATTATTAAGTGATCAAATCATTTACCATTAGATAAAAATAATATATATGATCTAAATTACCAAGGTAGAGTATGAATGGAATAAATCCCCAATGTACAATTGTTTTAGCAATTTCTGTAGCTTTGAGTATCTTTTCCTATTGAAATAATTAAATAGTCAATTAATTAAAAAAATGTTAGTTTGATTTCATTGAAGTATACAAAACCTTTGTTTCTTCGTGCATTGTGAAAATATAGAAAGAAAAAGGATTGCGAAATAAGTTGAAAATTTTTTGTCGAATAGATCAACTCGAATTTTCGGTTGATGTCACCTGACCTTTTTTTTTTTTTTTTTTTTTGATATACTGACGAAATGCAATTATTTAAATTTATTTATTCTATTTTAATTCTTTTAACTTATTTTAATTTATCATGGTTTCATTGGCATCGTCCATTGTTCGTCGGTTCAATGGCTTACAACCTATGGCGAAGCGTACAAGTACGAAATAATCATATCGATTCATTATCGATACTTTTTTTAAATTGGTTTTAATAAATTATATGCTTTTTCACTACCTTCTTTCAAAGCAGCTAGAATGAACTTTTATCAAATTTACGGAGCGACCACAAAATTCAATTTTCATTCTACATCGGTTTTTAAACAAGGTCAGGTTCTTCTAAATTAATTTATTTAGAGAATTCGTTATTATTTCATTTATTTTTTCGGATTCGGATTTAGTTTTTTTTTTATTTTACAATTTTCTAAACAGTTGACTCTAAACCTAATGCGACAACACAACATAGTAACGAATCGCTTCATGAATATGGAAAACATCTCTTATCCATGCTTCCGAAATATATACAACAATACTCGGTTTATAAGGATGAGCTTTCACTTCACGTTGCCCCTAGTGCCATTATTCCTGTCATGACATTTTTACGTGATCATACAGGTGCACAATTTAAACAGGTTATGGACATTTGTGGTGTTGACTATCCTACACGTCCAAATCGTTTTGAAGTTGTTTATAATATGCTAAGTATTCGTTATAACGCAAGAATTCGGGTGAAAACATATGCTGATGAAGTTTCACCTGTCCCTTCTATTACTCCTCTCTTTAATGGAGCAAATTGGTTTGAGAGAGAGGCTTACGATATGTACGGAATATATTTCACAGATCATCCTGATTTAAGGAGGATCTTAACGGATTATGGGTTTGAAGGTCATCCTCTAAGAAAAGACTTTCCTTTAACTGGTTATGTTGAAGTTCGTTATGATGAGGAAAGAAAACGAGTCGTCATTGAACCTTTAGAATTGACACAAGCATTTAGAAATTTTGAAGGGGGTGCTTCCCCTTGGGAACAAACAGGTAAGGAAACGTGATGCTAAATTCTTCTCCTTTTAATGAACCTTAATTAAACTATCCAATATCATTAGGTCCTGGTCAAGATGATAGACCTGATTCTTTCAAAGTTGAGAATCTTTTACCAAAACCACAAGATTCAGAAAAAAAATAATTTAACATCGGTATATTTTATAATTTATTTTTGAATACTTCATGTATTTGAGAATTTCACATCTTTCACTAATGCAATATTAGTTAACCTTTCCATGTATCCCTTCGATATCAATATAAAATTCACCCCATTGTCTTGGTGCATAAGGAGCCATCATTAAAGTGATTGTTCTTTGACAATTATCTTCCATGCCTATTAACGTTCTATCGGCTCTGGATAACATAATCCTTGAATTAATCATATTTGACCACAACAGTCCCAATGCTGGGATTTTCGAACCTTTTCCGACTAAAAATTGTCTCTGATAATAATCATATTCCCAAAAATTGTCATCTTTATTTCCAATAAATTCCCTGATATCATATTTAGAAAATAAATCAGAAACTTGATTGACACAAATAATTGGTAATCGAAACTGATCACTTATTTCCTTGAGCTTCGTTCCTAATTTACAAAGATCTTTAGAGCGTTTGCGCAATATGGACAAGTCAGATGAACTATACACAACCCTAAAGTTGGCTGCAATGGAATCAATTATCACCAGTCGTATCTTATTCCGAGAAAGTAATATTGGTAATTGTAGGTGTAAAACCTGATATTGGGTGTCCAAATCAGGGACTGTAATGTATTTAATTTCATCCGACAAATTGACATCCTTTAGGAAGTCGTGTCGTTGCTTGAACGAATGGATCATTTGTTGCGTTCGTTTTATTAATATCTGGACATTACCTTCGGTGGATACATATACAGTCCCTATACCAATTTAAATGTTTTGATATAAGAACTATTTGACCGTTAAGAACATTGAATGGAAAACAAACCTCCTTCAAGTCCACCTAGTTTTTTTGACAATTGAACTGTCAAACAAAGTTGAAGACACAATTGCGTTTTTCCAGCAGCGCTATATTATGTAATAATTGCACCAAACATTATAATTTAAATTATTTTCTATATACGTTTTATCAAATATATATTTACCTCTCACCTACAATCTCTGTAATTCCACACGACATTATACCCCCACCAAGGATTTTATCAATTATGGCATCGCCCGTAGTTAGCATACGTTGTTCTCCAGAGTTAAGCATTTTTAGAGCATTTGTGAATGGGAACAATAGTGGACGCGTCTTTATTATTTCTTGTGCCATACATTGAACAAGTTCTTTTACATCCTTTGATGACAATTTTAATTTCTTTGAAAGCTCATTATCACTACGATGCATTACATCTGACACTGTGTCAAATTTTGCTATAAATAAAATCAGTAAATAACGTGAAAACCGCGTAGAAACGTGTATATAATTGGTGCTATTATATACCGTCTTTTAGGGCTTCTGCGATCCTTGGTCTTAATTCTATATTTTTAATTTCCTCCATATTTGAAATCTAGAAAATAAGGTTTTTATTTTATTTTTTTTTTAAAAAAAAAAAAATACGTTGACGTAAAACGCGTAAATTGTATCGATAAGCACGTGATTTTATATGTGATTGATCCGATTAGTTTCATCAATTTCTTCACATTAGTGATAATGACGCCAAGAAGGAACGATGCACGTTTTGTTTCTGACGATTCTCGAATTCCAAACACCTATATTCAAAGTCTTGAACAATCTGTATACCTTCTTCAAGACAGTACGTCAAAGGTATGTTCATTATAGCACACGCAAGCATATAAAATTATTTGTATTTAATTATTTTTATTTACAGCTTCAGACGTCTATACACAAATTAGAAAGTGGTTCTCGTGATTTTTCAAAGATCAAGAAATTGCTTGCTTGTCAAAGAGTTAAATTTTACGCGGTTTTAATTTTTTTTTTTTATGATGTATTAAATAATAATCGCCTTGATTGATGAAATAGGTATGTGAATTAGTGACTGAACCAGAGATACGTGATGCTCAAAGTTCATTAGCGGCTCAGCTTGAATCTCGCATCAATGCTCTTTTATCAAAAGCAGAAGAAATATTACAAGGATTAGTAGAGAAGGATAATATGCTCCAAGAGGAGGTTTTATACTTTTTTATGAATGATCTTATTTTAATGTTGGCAAAAAAATTTAACGCTGATCAATTCGTATTAAATTTAAAAAAAAAAGGTGGATAAGCGCGAAATTGAATTCGAACTGGAAATGAAAAAAGAACAATTAGAATCAAAACAAAATGAAATGATTAAAAAACATTCGTCTCAACAAAAAAAGCAACAAAAGGATATAAAAAGAGAACTGATAGAGTTAAAGAAAAAGGTGAAAAAATTAGAGATAGAATGCGAGCAGCAGGTATGTTATTCTAACTGCAGATTTATGCCTTGTTATCGACAAAGACAATTCGATATTGAATGATTGTATATCAATCGTTGTCGTTGGTATTAATTAGTCTCAAGTTTTAAATGAAATTATTGAAGCTCAAGGTGAATTTCAAGATGCATTAGAAGAAGGTAATCAATCTATCGATGTTTTTATTTTCTTTGATTTAAATATTTTATTCTAAAAGGTTGATTAAGATTTGATAGAGGAGGAACAACTCGGACACGCTTTAAGTCAAATTGAAATATCCTGCGTGCAAGGTAAGATTGCTTCATATATATCTAGTATTTTTTGTGTTGATTTTTTTTAACGTCTCTAAATTAGAAGATACTTTGGAAGAAGGAATTTACGATTGTAATATCTCTCGACATTATTATTATTATTATTATTTTGATTTAAAAACTTATTCTAACAATTTGCTTACTCGTAAAGATTCGATAGAGGAAAGGAATGAAGTACAACCCGAACTCGCTTCAAACCAAATTGACTGCGCGCAAGGTAAACCTTCCTTATATGCTTTTAAACAATGTTTGATTTTTTTAACACGCCTAAATATATAAAATATCAAGAATTAAGAACCAGCGGAATAGAGAATATGAAAAAATTATGTAAATTTTTATTTCCAACGGATGATCTTGGTAGCACGCTCGCTCGTATTGCAGAAATATTACTCGATGCCGAAAATAAAGAAATATACATCAATGAATTGAGCTTGGTATACATTAATTAATTTTTATGTTTGATGTTTTCGTTATGTATAATGAATTTATTGAGAACATTTCATTTTTTGAATAGGAATTTCCACCAGAACAAGACCACCTACATCGACTTCAAACCGCCATAACTTTACTTAATGCATTTGAGATTACGGAAATAGTCTGTGAGGAAGAATTAAAGGAAGGACAAAATGAAGATAAAATGATTTTAAGATTAAAGGTTGATAGTTGAGAAATATATATTACTGCGGAGTAAATAATTCTTTGGGACGCAATTGATTGGTTAAACGTGATCAGGCTAATCTTTTTTTTTTTTATAAAAGCAATAATGTATTCTTGGCAAAAAAAAAAAACAAATTCATCATGTCCAATCAAGATAATAAATCCAATAATTCCAATATGGATGCCTCAAAAGATAAAGGGAAAGCAAAATCGATTTCATCAACCTTAAATAACACTTCAAATTTGCTTCGTGAAGCATTAAATCCTTCAAATGGGACCAGTACAGCTAGCGCCTTAAATTCTTTATTACGACAAAATAATCATCAAAAACTACAAAGTTCATCATCAACAACATTATTGCAACAAGGAGAATGGCAGCATAATGTTTTTCATTCGCAGGATGATGTAAATAATACTAAGAATGATTATACAAATATTCATAGTCAAGTAAACGATAGTGGTGGGTTGGATACCGAATGGAAACAATGGAACCTTGATCCGTGTCCTTCGGCAAGGTCAATAAATTCTTCACATATATATCCATTTCATCATCATAATCCTCATAAAACCAATTATCAAGATGAGAATGAAATTTTAGAATTTTTAAATTCAAATAATTATACGGAACAAATATATCATGAAGATTTAAGTCAATTAACATCAAATCGACAAAAAGATTATAACTTTTTAGAAAATTGTCGAGAAGAATATCAAGAATCAATTTTAAAAGATAATGTGAATTCAAAGTTTATTGAAGAATTTTTAGAATCTAAAGATATTCATGAATATTTATCAAAAATTTCATATACGGACGATATCTATGGTATTCCAACATTTTTAAAAGAATTAATTAATGAAGCGAAAAACGAATTAAATAATGATGATGATAATGATAAAAATTTAAAACATCAAATAACTGCTATTGAAAGATTAAAAATGGTTAGAGATCATTTATTTAATAGAGAAAGAGAAAAAAAGTTTAGATAAATAAGTGATAGTAATTGATAATAAGATAACAGGAAATAATTATTTTATTTATCTTCTTTCAAAATAAAATGAATCATATAAATCTCACAATGCATCATGATAAATAAAATGATTTGCTTTAAAGTTAATTTGTTTTTTTAAAATATAAATATATTATTTATATTATTTATATTAAAACGGGAGAATCCCATAAAATATGAAATCAAGAATTTTCAAGCCAAAAATCATTTTACCAAACTAATCCAGTTTTTTTATAATCTCTTTGTAAAATTCTCTCATTCAAATTCAATCCAACCAATCATCATGCATTCAAAAAAATTTAAAATACCATTCCCGTTCATAGTGAAACCATTAGATGAAGGATTCTAATGTCATGATAATATTTATCTAAATATTTCGTTTTTATATCTCACTTTTTTTTTATAAAAAAAAAAGGTTTTTAAAAAAGGAAAAAAAAATATATAAATAAAAAGTTTTTTTTCACCAATCGAAGAAATTCTATTAAAAAGGAAATGAAAAATGACAAGTTTATTTAAACTTTTTTTTTGGCGGGATTGAAATCTAATTCTGGCCAAGATATTATTCCGATAATGGCGTGGTGATTAGTGATTCGATCAAATACTCATGATATCCTCATGTTCAAATAAATGTAATTACCGTAAATTGTTTGAGGCTTTTCATTGGCTTTTTTTTTTGTCATGGCTGTTCAAAAAAGAAAATTATGGTGAACTGTTCAAGTGTAAATGCATTTCAATAAAGGTAAACATTGACACATTTTTTTTCATTTTAAAATAAATTTTTTTTTTTTAAAAAAAAAAAAGATATATATAAAAAAAAAACGGAAATTCCTGGAAAAGGAAATTGATCGAAAAAAAAAAACTCTTTTTTTGAATTCTCTTTGACACAATCAATATAATTATGGATTTTCACGGGATCTGATCCTGTCAACAGAGGGGATTAACAAACAAATTTTAATCACATTCGGAGATATATTATTGATGTAACGATGTAACGATGTAACGAAAAAAAAAAAATAAAAAAAAAAAAATTAAGAGGATGAAGAAATCTCCGTGGAATTAACCTTTTATGAAAGGTGAAAATTTTCTGAATCATACGCATTGGGATGATACACATCTTTTTAATACTTTCTAAAATGAAATGTGGAGGTTTATTAATAGAAATCATTTGAACAGTTCGTACAACAACGTTTTCCACAGGAGAGATAAAAAAAGAAATAAAACTGCAGAGTACAAAGCTTATTTTAATTTATATAATAATATATAATTCTGTTGAACATAAAATAAAAAAATTTCCGACACATGGTAGTTATTATTTATATTTTTTGTTTACTTTAAGCGGGAATAACTTGATTTTTCTGTCCCAGCAATTTGTTCGAATTTAAAAAACTTTTTGATTTACAAATTGTCCGCGGATCATGAATTTTTTTGATCTTTTTATATCATCAAAAAAAGTTCTTGATTTCAATGAATTTTTTTGTCAATAAAATATAAAAAAAAAATATCAAAAGAAGACATCGTTGCATTTAAACCAACAAAATGTGAATTAACGTCATTTGTTAATTCCAAGATTTGTTATGACTAAATATTTGTCAATGATCGAGAGTAGATCGAAAATAATTACTTTTGATCTTTACTGCGTCCCAAAAAAGATTATTTGATATTTCTAATAAATTATACAAAACTAACTGATAACAACAAAGATAAATATTTAAAAAAAGAATCAATCAAGTAAAAAATACAAGTTTCCCCAATAAAAATTAATTATTTAACCATCTAAGAATAGTCAATAATATATTTTCAAACTATTGTCTTTAAAAAAATTTTTTCATGTTAATTGAGTTTCTACAAACCTGATTTTTTTCATCCTCCCTTACTAAAAAAAAAATGGTGCCGAAATATTTGGGGAAGTACCACATCTACTTTAAAAAAAATCCGGATGTTTCCGTATGTTTCGTACCATAAATGGTAAAAGATGAAATGGGAACTTTTTTGAACCTTTCAATGTCGTTGATTTGGGGAAGTTACATATAAAAGTAGAAGGTTTTCAAAGGGGTTTTGTTTGGCGTTGCAGCCCTCGCATTACAATTTTGTTCATGTGAAATTTTGTTTATGGACAAATCTTCTTTCAACAACAATCGCTTTGATTGTAAAGAAAGAAGGTATTTTACACACTTCCATCACAACATTCGATATATCACGTTCCAAAAGAATAGAAAAAGGAATCGACGCTTAAAGCTTAGTTTCTTTCATTAATTAAACTTTGTTTGGAGCACAGAACATCATTCAATTGTGGCGAGAGAAATAGATTTTTTTTGTTAAAAGATTTCTAAAAGTACAAATAAATATTATTTATATTATTTATTATTTATTATTGTTATTATTAATTACATTATACTGCGTAATCCACACTCTCTTCCGGCTTTTATCAGGCCAAGAACCAATAAACAACAACAAAAAGCCACGAGAACAAAAGCCAATTCATCTCGATTTGTATAAATTAGTGAGAGTTGAATAGAATTTACTTTACAATTATACAATCATGCTTTTTTCAACGGGTAATGATGTAAACTGAAGATCAATGACCGCCATTTACCGTTCTTCCTGAATTTAAACCTGCCCTTAATTTATTTGAACTGTTGTATAAATTATATAGAGTAATGTTTCTTGGTATATATTTTTTTTCATTCAAAGTTACCTTTAAATAGAGTTTAAAAGTAAAATAAAAAAAAATATTAAAATAAAATTTTTTTCTTTTGGTCCACCTTAATAACAATTCTAAATCGACTTGAACCTTTAAAGTTACATTCGGCGTTTCTCTTGCAAACAATTTCTTTTGGTGTAGAAATTGAAATGGTTCTTATTAATGTAAAATATGAGATCTTTTTTTTTATTGTTGCATTGTCTTTACTTTTATTAAAGATAACCATTTGTCATATTCCCTCCCTTTCCACTAAACATCACGAAATAAAGGAGTTATGAGATCATGAGAATAAAAAGAAGGGTCAATACATTCTTCAAAGAAGACGAAAGAATAATTATCTCGTTTAATATGACCAAAAAAAATATTGGAAAAAAAAATTTTTAATTGTATTATAAAATTCAAATATTGTATCACCTTTTTTTTATATAGTCACAATTAACAAATCAACATGTGAAAAATAACATTATCCCATTTACAATAATAATCATATGTATTTGATTAAAATTTCTTTCGTAATCTTTGTTGCATAGAATTAGAAATCAACTATCAGTCATCACATCACATAATTAAGCATAAAATTTAAATTCCTAAATTAAAATCTAGCAAATCCTAAAAAAAAAAATAATAATAATAATAAAATCTCGGTTAATCCAATGGATACTTCGATAATAAAGATTTCTCCAATGATAGACAGCATACTTGCATCTGTGGTTGGGTTTCATCTTCTATATCTTGCGTAAATAAACCCAAAAGAAATACCTTTTTTTCATAAAAATCATTCCCTCGGTTTCCTATTATCGATTTTAGTATCTGGTCTAACCAATAATAACTCCTTTGCCGAAAATTCTACTTTGATTTGCGGTCATTCTTAGAATCCATAAAACCTACTAAAAAGTGCACATCCAAATGTATTTTGACTTTGACCTCCATCACCTCAACCCTTTTCTCATCCCTCGCTTGCATGCAAATTTCTGCTCGTTTAATTTTCCTGCAAGACAATCATAATAACCTCAAATAATATGTATAGATCATATTAGTAACATCTAACAATCGCTGGAACGATTATTATATGTATGTGTGTACTTTGTAAACTAAAATATTGTGATAAAATAAAAAAAAATCAGTTTTTCCAATTGATTATTTATTTATATTCCGGAAAATAATCTCTCAATAGTTGTTGTAAAATATTTAACCATAAAAAATTTTCACCCCAATCAATAACAAGAAAAGTAACGAGCAATAACTGGTTATTTATTGTTGGAAAAAAAACAAACTATATTATTCATGAAGTATTTTTATATTTATATATATATATATATATATATTACTATTTGATTATTTATTTATGAAATATATATATATATATTAAAACTTCCACTAAAAAAAAAAAAAAAAATTATTATATAACATAGAAACGAAATTTTCAGTCACAAAAAAAAAAATATTTTTTTTTCTTTTTTCCCCATCAAAAAATTTTCTTTCCCATTCTATTCTCAAGTTTGCATTGATTTCTGTTACTTTTTTTTCACGACTATAATTTTTTTTTATTATTATTATTATTATTTTATCCTACACAACTGACCTCTTGTTGTGTTGATTCAAAAAATAACAGGTTTACAAACTTTTATCAAAACAATATTTATATAACTAGTACACATAACACTTTAAAAAAAAAAAGCCCGCTTTTTTTTTTTCTTTCAAAAAAAAAAACCCCACACTGTTTTCCTTATAGTTAAAATAAATCCAAACCTCTTTTGTTCTTTTTATTACGTGTTCTCTAACAATACTACGGCTACATAGTCAATAAACAGATAGTCATTGGGTAAGTTGATCTCTTTTGTTCATACCTTCAATGTTTTCTTTCACCATCAGTCGAAATAGTTTTCGGGTTTCCGCGGAAGGCTTTGTTTTTCTTTTTTGATTATTTTCTTTCACCTTTTTTTTGCGTTTTTTAACGCGTTGTTTGTGGTTTTGACGTTACCTCTGTGTGTCATTGTGAGTTGGAGACGTGTTTCGATCATGAAATAACACCACACAACTTTCGGCGATAAAACTTTTGCTAGTTTCCCAAATTTATAAATCTTATTTTCCGGAATATCGATCGCTCTTCACCTCACCTGCAGGCGCATAACGGTTGTTGAACGTCCTTTCTGCCGGACGTAACCAAACAAAAACAACAAAATATGCGCATAATTATCATATGTTTATTTATCTTATATTTACTCTTTCCACTTAGACAATCTTCATTTTCCACGTCGATAAAAATAATTTTTTCCTCCTCCTTTCTTGGTTTGTTTTTTATTTTTCATTTTTTATATTTCTTTACAGATTTCCTTTACAAGTACACATACATACCTTCTTTCTTTTTTTTGTTTATAAATAGCGTTCATCACATAAACAGATCTTTACGCGGTTTCCAAAACTTTTCGATCAATAACAATTTATTTTTTACCAAAGAATATTATTTCAAAACCTTGGCAAATCTAACAGAGAAAAAAAAAGAAGCTTTTGAAGACGACATATTTAAATTTTGTTATTATTATTATTATTTTTTTTTATTTTTTCTCTGTTCAACAATAATTCATAGGCGAGATATATACCATATCCCATTATCATTTGTCATCGGCAAATAACCAAATATGTCACCAGAACCAACGAGCGTTGCCGCTCTTTCACGTACAAGTGATCTTTTCGCAAATCAGTGTCTTTTATTCTCCAAAGATTATGGATATACTAAATCAATGCAATCAACAACAGATAAAAGAACAAGTTCATCTTATTTAACTTTATCACCCAACAATAATAATCACTCATCCACTACGTCAGAGACACAAGATCAAGATGTTCGTCGCATTCAGCGTCAATGTCAGGGTTTAAATGGAATTCACAATATGAACAATTCACATTCTCAACCTCTGCATCGTCATCCATCATCATCGTCGTCATCTGTTGATATTAATCGTGATAGACTAGCTGCGGAGATACATGTAGAACGTAGTTCGCTTGATCAAGAACGAGGATCATTGGATTTGTTGGTTGCTGCGGCTGCTTTGAACATCGCGGACTCGGAAAATTCAAACACAGGGGTATGTAACATTTCCCAGTTCAATCACAAACAAACAAACAAAGATTTTATTGTACTTCGTGACCATTTGTAAAAAAAGCGTTACATAAGCGGTTATCATCATAACAACCGACCACTCAAAAAGTGACAAGATATTATTTTAATCGTCTACATTTGGATCACGAATTGTGTTGCATATTTATGATTTGTAATGTTTATGATTTGTCATTAAAAATCTTGAAAATTCTTTTTTTAGACGACAAGCAAAACAAGTCCTGTGGCTTCGGTGGTTGACCTTGTAAGTTTTTTCGCTTATTATCTTTATATATTTTTTTTGTTAAAAAAAAATAAAATTTAATTATTCCTTACGCTTTCCTTGATTAATAATCAACAGAAGAGGCTAGAACAAAAAAGGTTGGAGCACGAACGTCAGCGTCATGAACAGCGGCAGTTGTTTGAAGAAAAGATGAAAATGCTTGAACTTCAACAGCTCAAAGAGGAACAAGATTTATTAGAGAATCACCAATCACATACTCTTCTCGTACCAGCCGCAAGCTTAAGTGCGCCGAATACACCTCCTTCTTTGATAACGAATGATACTCGTGCTCGATCCAACACGGTGCCAAGACTAAACAATACATCAGTGGGAAGTCTGACCCCAAATGTCACTCAATTCGATTCTTCCCACGCCGTTGAATCATTGTCTGTTCACCATAGATCAAATTCTTCATCCAGATCTGTACCAAATTCTCGACGTAATTCAAATGAATCCTCACATGCATCTAGAGAAGAAAAACTGAACAAGACAGGCAAAACTTCTGACAATATGGAGTACGTGTATATTATATTTTATTATTATTATTACGACCTTTTGACAGTGCGTTGATCAATTCCTCAATTTTTAAAAACAAAAATTCATAGGAAAGAATTACGTGCCTCTATTGGTTTACGAGGTTCAATGTCGCAACGTAGGGATGCGATGTCAACTAATACATCAAACAGTGACAACTCGATCTTCCCACAATTCAATGGAAATTTTTTGCTTGATGAAGAAGGGACAAATCACCCCATGTCGTCGTCATATGTTTGTCGATACTTGCAAATGCACACAGATGATGACAAGTTTCCAATATTGGTTCGTCGTGACAGTTACCCGGGAATGGTAATGTATTTGACTTTTTATTTCATTTGATTTGACGGTTACTTTGTGATTCACCTCCTTTATGCGTATATTTTTCAGTTGTCCGCATCATCCGCAGCACTTGATCTTGCACCTTTACCTCAGTCCACATCGCGCCATCGTGCTTTGGATTCGAGTGAGAGAAAAAAATTGGACAATCTGACCGTAGATAATAATAGCTTGTCAAATGCAAAACAACGAGTTCCCAAGTTATCAACTTCGTTATCAACACCAGATTTGGCTAGTGCAACTAGATTATTTGGATGTCGTTCAACGAACTTTGATGCAAGCACCGCCAACGATGTACTTTTAGAAGATGATGATGATCAGATTAACCATTCCGTGCAAATACCAACCGTTACCACTGGTGATGTCGGCGGAAGCAACGTTTGTCGATTCTATCAACAAGGGTATTGTCAGCGTGGAGATCGATGTTCTTATTCTCATACCTTTAATGGGTTAGGACAGGTCAACTTGAATCTTCCGGCTCAAATGACAGGATTTTCTGGCGTTGCGCAACCGATGAATAATAATAACGCTTTCTACAACCAATATGGAGTTTCTGGTATCGGCGGGGTGAACGTTTTACCTTCGACATCTGGATTTACTTACAATCAAAACTTGGCTCTTAACGTTGCACTAAATAGAAATATGAATTTAATGCATGCGAGTAACGGTGGGCTTTCTTCCAAGATGAGTCAGAAGAGGATGAGCGGTGATCTCGAAGGTAAATTTTATTCAATCACGTGAAATCTCGAACCGTTTTCGAATCACCACTAGTTTATTCACATTTTTTTTTTTAAAAAAAAATAAAGTGAACAGATTTACTGGCATTATGTTAGAAGACCTGGCCGGTGAGATATATCCTCTTTGTAAGGACCAACATGGGTGTAGATATCTCCAAAAGAAACTTGAAGAAAAAAATGAACAATACATTGGAATGATCTTCAACGAGGTCTTTAGTCATTTCGTTGAATTAATGACAGGTAAATTGAATAAATCACTGATTTTTTTTATCAATTCTTAAAGTGTGCCTAGAATTAATTTTTGTTTCCAAAATAACCATTAGATCCTTTTGGAAACTATCTTTGCCAAAAACTTCTCGAGTATTGTAATGATGATCAACGTACAATAATTATAGAGACTGTGGCGCCAGAATTAGTGAACATCTCACTAAACATGCATGGTACTCGTGCTGTTCAAAAAATGATTGAATTCTTGTCAACACCACAGCAGGTATTTTGATTTCGTGTCTCTCTCTTTTAAATTGTTTAACCATTTACTACACATCCTAAGATTTACATAATGACAGATCCATCCAAATTATGCGTTAAAAAAACAGATCTGCCTCGTGATTGTTGCGCTCAATCCCAACGTCGTGACTCTGATTAAAGACTTGAATGGCAATCATGTGATTCAAAAATGCTTGAATCGTTTGAGTTCCGAGGATAATCAAGTAAGTGATTTAAGCATCGCGTGACCATAATACCAATCGATACGTATTAAACATTTCTCGATTTCACTATTAGTTCATCTACAATGCCGTGTGCAAGAATTGTATTGAAGTGGCTACTCACCGTCACGGATGCTGTGTGTTGCAACGTTGCATCGATCATGCCTCTGAAGCTCAAAAGGTTCAGCTTGTTACGGAGATTACGTATCATGCACTTACGTTGGTCCAGGTAACGAACAGCGTCATGGGAATACGAAGTTTATATTAATCAGAAATAAATCTTAACGCCATCGTTTTTGATTCTCTTAGGATCCATTTGGCAATTATGTCGTTCAATACGTTTTGGACCTTGGCGACAGTCGATTCACGGACGCTCTTATTCGTAAATTCATCGGCAACGTCTGTGCTTTATCGGTGCAAAAGTTTAGTTCCAATGTGATGGAAAAGGTAAGATTGAACATTTTTTTTTCCGTTTTATTTTACCTTTTTTTTTTTAAGAGCGTACATTAAATCATTTTTATTCCAACTGTATTGATTCACGATTTCCAGTGCATTAGAGTCGCAGAACCAGACACACGAAAGTTTTTGATCGATGAAATGCTGAACAAGAATCGACTAGACAAGTTGTTGCGTGATTCTTATGCTAATTACGTGGTCCAGACAGCTTTGGACTATGCTGATCCGCTCCTTCGTAGTCAAGTAAGTATTACAATAATATATTACTATTATTCGCAGTATTTGTAAATTTGTTTACGATTTTTTTAATTTGTAGCTGGTCGAGTGTATTCGACCTCTATTACCTGCCATTCGCAACACTCCATACGGCAAGCGTATTCAAGGAAAACTACACCGCGAACAAGTTATGCAGTTGAACTCGCTCAACATGCTTAGACTTCCATTACATGGTTTAGGCAACCTTGGCAGTTTTACTGGCAATTTTGGTGGCAGCATGGGCGGTAGTATTATTGGAATGAACGACTACACAACACCAACTTATCGTTACATCTAAGAACGAAAGGAAATTTCTCGCATTTTTGTTATATATATATTATATTATATATTTCTCTTTTTTTTTCATCATTATATATTCTTTTCTCTTTTTTTTTTATATTACTATCCTATCCTATATTCCGGAGGAAAAAGACAATGTGTGATCATTTCACACTTTTGTATTAATTCCCCTTTATGATTTGTATTTTTTTTCACCAGTTTAGACTTGTGAGGCGGAGGTAGATTGTATCATATATTTATATATATATATACACAACGACTTCTCACATGTTTACACTATTATTATACAAATGTATTTGTGATTCCCTTGTGAAAAAAAAAGGCTGTTTTGTAATGGTAGCTTTTCATGTATTATCCATCCGCGCACAAAAAGAGATTAATCTAAAATTTTTTAGCACAATTTTATAAATTACAACAAAATTTTTATTCTTTACCCATTTCCTTCACAATTTTTTTTCCTACTTGTAGTAATACTTTTTCTTATACCATATCCCCTAGCTTATACGCATGTCAATGATGTAGTTACATTCACTTTCGGAACATTAGATATTATCTACGTGTGTTCTGTACTTTTCGTTGTATTTATATACAAAAAATTTCTTACAATTTCATTATTTTTATTTTTTTTTCCCTATATAAAAATAAATTTTCGTATATTATTTTTTTTTTATATATATATATTAGGTACATTTATATATCATTCTGTACTTTATTTTTTTCTTTCAATCCTTTTTTTTTCTCTGTATTTTTTTTTTTTTTCTTTTTTAGTATTAGTATTTTTTTTTTCTTACTTTCATTAGTTAGTATTTCAAAAATATATATATTTTTTTGCTTTTTTTTTAAAAAAAGTGTTATATAATATATATATATACTTATATATTTTTTTCATTTCATATTTCAAAACCAAACAATTCACTTAGTAAAATAGCAAGTAGCAATATAGTCAACTTTTCTAAAAAAAAAAAAAAAAAAAAAATTTACAATATAAACGAAAAAAAAAATTTTTTTTAAAAAAAAAAACCGCGTTTTAGATTTTTTCTGATTTATTGAATGGAACACGATTAAGATTTTTTTAAAAGTATAACAAATGACGAAAATCTAATTAGAGATGACTTTTTATGGATTACGCAATAATAGTTTTATTTCGAATTATAAAATCTAATGAATTCCAATCATCAATAAATTTAATAAATATTTTTTTTTACGATATATATATAACTTTATATTTTTATTCGGGTTAATATGTTCAGTGGTTTTATTAATGATTTGTTTGTATTCGAACTTAAATTTTATAATTTAAAAAGATCCAATTATATACAATTGCAAATTTTGAATTTTGATATTAATAACTCCAGAATTTTATATTACTATAATTGTTTAAAAATTATATTGATTTAATCTTTATTTTAAATATATTTTTCTTTATATATACATATTTTATAAGCTTTAAAAAATATAAAAATAATATAATTTTTTTACTTTAAAATAAACACTTATTATATATATTATTTTTTAACTTAAATCATTAAATTTAATAAAAATATTATTATTATATTTATTTATTAAAAAAGTATTTAAAAAATACATATATCATTATAAAACCAATTTTTAATAAATAAATTTAGATTTAACATTAACTCTTAAAATTTTTTGAAATTTCTTTAAATATTTTTGTAAAACTAAAATAATAAATACATATATATATATTTATTTATTTATTTTTAAATTTTAAAAATTTAAAAATAAATATTTTAGTTATTAATTATTTATATTTGTTATAAAATATTAATTATAAAAAGAATGATTAATAAAATTACTTTAAAAATTATTATTAAATTAATAATTAATTTTTTCTATTTCCTATTAATCAAAATAATTAAACCAAATAAAGATAATATTATTAATAAAATTATTAATTTTAATTAGTTTATTTTATAAATAATTTATCTAAATAATATAATTAATAAAATTTTCAATATTATATTCTTTATTTTTAATTAATAATAAAAATAAATCTAAAAATAGGATAAAAATTTAAGATAATTAAATAGTTAATCAATTAATTAGTTAAATTTTATAAGTAAATTAAAATTAAATAAATTGTAAAAACTTATAATTAAATAATTTTATAAATAAAAACTTTATTTGAATTATTAAATAACATTAATTCATATATTTTATTTAATAATTTATATCTAAACTTATAAACTTAACTCTAATTTCTTATTATTATTTTCACTATTAATTAAATTTGTATTAATATAAACAAATCTTAAAATAATTAAATTAAAATTAATTATTCTTTAAAAATTTATTTTCAGTCAATAATCATTGTAATTAATTTATATAAAAATTATTAAAAAATGTTTTTAAGATTTAAATAATAATAATAATATTACTTTATTAATAATTATCATTATACATAAAGTTAAAATGAATTATTTTAAATATCTAAAATGTCAAAATAATCAAAATAGTCAAACCAATTTAACTTAAAAATTCAACAATCATAATAGTTAAAATAATATTATATCTCATAAATTTTTATATATAAAAATCTAAAAAAAAAACAAAAAATATATGATCTCTATCAATATTATTCTAATTATTATAAAATAACTACCATTCAATTCTTTAAAAATCTAATGATCCTATCTCAATTAGTAACAATTAAAATCCTATCATAAGTTATAATATGATAGATCCTAATTTAGCTCTTAACCATAACAACATTATAATAATATTTACAAAATTTAATTTAATAAGATATATATAAATAATATACGTGATAATCAGGATTTGTAAAATATAATAACCCTGTATTTGAAATAATCTGTAATATAAAGGTTAAACTAAAGAATAATAAAAAAACATTATCTAATAATATTAAATCATCTGTATTGTATCCTAACCCAATTGTTTAGTATCAAATAGTAAATATTGTATAACTATAGCTAGTTAGAAATTTGTCACCTCAAAAAGGTAGATAGTCATAGTTACAGTTGGCTGATCTTACACTATTTCAATCATCATGATGTCTAAGTCCTATACTAGAGGTAGAAGCTAAGTTCAATTCTCAAAATATTTGTTAATATAATACTAAATTATATATTATCTATCAGATATGATAACTCTCAAAGTATAAGCTTTGTAAGGTTGCTTTATAATGTACCAAACTGATTAATTAAGTATGAAATATTTATGAACAGTTATTCAGATCTTAATTATAATTAGCATATTAATTACTAAATAAAAACAATAAAGACCATTACTATAGCTGAAAATATTCTCTCTATTCAGTAATATAACTGATTATCAAATAATATCAGTTGCCACTTCAAAATCTATGAAGGTTTTGTAGATAGAGTCAAACTTGGGTTAGACACCTGTTAAGTAAATTATCAGTAAGGTTAAACAGACTTTAAATAGAACTACAGAAGTTACAGTTTCTGTTTATATAATGTTAAAACTAGAATTATCTTATATACTTTGAGAGTTATACATATCCCTGCAATTCTTAAACTTAAATGTTATCAAATTTGAACACTAAAAAAAACCATTCAATTCTTTAGAATTTAATGATTAATAACAACTGAAACTTTATCATAGATTATACTGTGATAGATTCTAGTTTAATCTCTAACCAAAGCAAATCATAATAATAATTTATAAGATTTACTAGTTTAATTCTAAAATGAATTTCATAAAATATGCAAATCATATATATTATAAATCTGAATTTATAGAATATAGTAATTTTAGCTAGAAATGATCCATAATTAGGTTAAATTTAAACAAAAAAAAGGAAACATTATCTGTTATGATAATATCTATACATGAAGTCGAAATGAAAACCCAAAAAGTCGAAATGTTTCGACTTTGGAGGTCAAAGTCGAAATGAAAAGTCG